GGATGAGAGAAAGTGAAAGGGGGGGGGGGGGGGGGTTGTTGCTGGTGGTGGTAACCAGCAACAAGAAGAAAATAAGAAATAACAACACTGTGCTTTTACTTGCTTACAGCACAAATCTAAACGGGACATGCATTGTCCCCTGGGGGATTCAGAAATTATACTAAAAAAAGTGATAAAAATGAATTTGGTTGGCTGGACAGGTCTGAGGCATTCCGGTCCAGATGGAGGCCATGGCTAATGTTTATGACAACGGATGAGTTTAAGACACTGAACGTCTTTGTGCCCCTTTGTTGTCCACTTGTCTTGTGGTGTTATGAGTCGATTGTTAGGTTTGTGTTGTAAGGCGGCTCTAAGTGGGGCGCGGCACCTGATGTGTAGGGTACCTGGAATCTCGCAGGGCTTCCCTTGGTCACCTCGATGCTGGAGACCCAGTTCCGAGCCTGCCTCTATAACGTTGACCTCCTTGGTGGGGAGAGCTTTAGCAGTCTAGTACCCCCACGCCGGGGACAAGACTTTGAGCGGAGGTACGGCTCGTATCTGGGCACATTGCCCTGTACATTTCTAAGGTGGTTGTTATTGTCTACAGCCCTGCTACTATTACCAAGTTCACTCAACTGACGCTGCCTTTGTATGTTGTTTTACTTTGTATGTTGTTTTATTTTTATGTTTGTGAAAAATTTAATAAACTCTATTTCTGCAAAAAAATATGAATTTGGTTTGTGTGGTACAAGACACAAAAAAATAAGTCTTAAGTGATAGTGAATTAGTGCACGGGTAATTTCTTGAGTAAATGCAATTGTGAATTTCCCTGTATATATTTACTAAATATGACTTGACATCATGTGTCTTTCCAAGGTGAGAAGGTTTTACAGAATGATGAATTTACAAGGGACCTCTTTAGATTCCTGCAACTACTGTGTGAAGGACACAACAATGGTAAGATATGTATTAGGATTTATATTTGAAAGAAAAAAACAAATAATTGGGCAGAGCTAGCAGTGACAGCAAGCTCCACCCAACTTTTTCATATTGGCCGGGACCTAACAGAGTCTTCTAGCAGGTCCCCGTCAATGAGTAACAACTGGGCGGCGCCGGCCATGACATCATTTGGGGACACTGATCTGTTATTACAACTGGGTGGAGCGAGCCGTGCGATCACGGCTGGCTCTGCCCAGCTGTTATTTGCGTGGAGATCGGTCGGCTTTGGCTCGGCTACCTTCAGCTGCTGTACAGGCTATAGTGAATAGCCCGTACAGGATGTTATACTGTGTCCTTTTGGATGTTATACTGTGTCCTTTTTTCAGGACTGGTCTGATAAAGAGGCAGGAGGTGCAGTAGGGAAACACAGCTGGGGCCTTAAACTCACCTTGCAGATTACATAAAACAGCAGTTTTCCCAGTGTTATTCGTGGGGCATGACTGTCAGATGGCCAGGTCCCACCCTGTGCATCAGGACGCTCCTGTATGAATACAATCTGTCAACACTGGTTTAAAAGCGCCTAGTTTTTCTTTGATCTGCCCATAATGTCAGTTTCAGGTTTTTTTTTTAAATAAAAGTTGTTCCAGAGAACTTTTTCCTGGCACTGATTTGTATACTTAAACTTGTGAATGCTGAGCCTAACATGGAAGCATGTTTACAATTGTTATTTTTTTTTGCTAATATTGAGTTGCCAGTCTCTTTGAAACAGTGGGTAAACCAAGCAGTATAGATTAAGTGGTTGGGGTGCAGAGCCAGCTGATAAGATTCACAAGACCCATTGAAGTTCAAGGAAAATGTAGCCATCTTTTCCTCCGCTAGCATACTACCAATGTGCTTATCCTTCTAAAACAAAAAAATGACATAAGCACTGCAGATCACTTGTATAAATTCTACAAAAACAGAAGTGGATGATTAAGTTCTAGAGGCTTGTATAGTTAGTAAAAGATACACAACACATCTGCTGCCTTTCTGATGCAGGCCTATTGAATGTATTTTCATACTTTTTTTTTTTAAGACTTTCAGAATTTCCTCAGAACCCAGATGGGAAATACCACCACAGTAAATATTATCATTAGCACCGTGGATTATCTTCTCCGTCTCCAGGTAATTAAAGCATATTTTTAATTTTGTGCTCAGCTACTGTATGCCATTCACCAGATAGCTTCTCTACAGACATGGCATATTTTGGGGCCCATTTGTCATAAAATGGTCTTTTATATGATCCAAAGCAAAAAATTATATTTACTATGCAAAGAACAAAAAAAAAGATAGAAGGAATTCTCAGCTAAACCTGCTATGCTTTAGCATGTTTATTCAGTAAGTTTATCAGCTCATGCAATGGGAATTTGATTCTGTGTATAATGCATGGGGATATTCATCTGCCACTGTTTAGCATTAGTAATGTGATATTGTTGTACTTCACTGTGCTGCATTTTGTAATGGAAAAATGTGTTTAATTAAATATGGTATTAAAGAAAAGGGTGCAGCAAACCTTTTCAGGAAGGGCAAGTGGAGCAAAATAGGATATAATGAATGGCTACATTAAAACTTCAGAACAAAGTGCAAAATATAAAACAATCCTTAAATTATACTTAAAATTATAACGTCAATAGTTACTGTGTGCAAAATGTCAAGTTTGGAGCAGGGGAAACTGGAGCAGTGACCCAAAGCAACTAATCGCATCCCTTGCTTCATTTGAAAAATGAAACCAAATGGGCTGCTATAGTAACTGTTCTACTTTTAGGTCTTAATTCACTCCTTTGCTTTTCAAAAACACATGCACTATTAATGCACACATTGATGGGCATAGATGTGCATTGTAATGCATGGAATTTGCATTAGGAGACACCTTAAAGTACATGTTAACCCTAACTAAATGACATTTACAGGGTTATTCACAAAGCTGCCGAAGGCAGCCGAGTGAATAACAGAGCCGAAGTGAACAGAGCCGAACGACGTTCAGCTTTTCACTCCGGCTCAGTACGGCTGCCTTCGGTCAGCCAAACATGCTCAGCATGTTCGGCTGAGCCAAAGTGCAGAGAGACTTCAACGCAGCCGATCTAACATCTGGATTGGCTGAGCCAAAGCTTCGGCAGCTCACTTGCTGCTGTTTGCCCCTAGTCTCATAGGTGAGTAGCCGAATGCCGCCGAGCAACATTCTGCATAGAATAGAAAAGAAGTGAAATGAAAAAAAAAAAGAGTTGAAAAATTAATTTAAAAATGTAAATAAATAGGAAAATAAAAAAAATATATTTCAAAGAAAAAAACAAATAATTGGGCAGAGCTAGCGGTGACAGCTAGCTCTGCCCAAATTTTTCATATTGGCCGGCACCTACCAGAGTCTTCTAGCAGGTCCCCGCCAATGAATAATAACTGGGTGGCGCCGGCCGTTACATCATTTGGGGACACTGATCTGTCATTACAACTGGGTGGAGCGAGCCGTGCGTTTACAGCTGGCTCTGCCCAGCTGTTATTTGCGTGGAGACTGGTCGGCTTCGGCTCGGCTACCTTCAGCTGCTGTACGGGCTATAGAAAATAGCCCGTACAGCAACCTTTCCATTCGACTGAACCAAAAGGCAGAGGCAGCCGAAGAGAGCCGAAGGATCAGCCAAAACTACTGATGAATCCTTCGGCTCCATAGTGAATAACCTCCTTAGTTTGCTAAAAGTGTCATAAGCTCATGGCTGCATTACATGTGATGTTTTTTCTTTTAGAAAATAATGGGTTTGCCCTTTTCATCCTTTTTTGCCTCTCGATGCTGCTGGTCTTTTGTAGACTTTTATCATCCACATCCTGCCTACATGCATCACTCCAATAGCAGTAGCATTTAATTGCTCAGGGTTAGCTTCCTGATGGAGACAATAGTGAAACATGATTTAACAATAATCTGCGCTAAAGGAAAGGATCCTAAATCTAAGGATTAAAACTACTACTAAGCTGCTATGTAAATGGAACCAAAAGGCTTCAGTAAATCTTAATAAATCAACACAGCGCTGAATGCAAACCCGAATAAATATACGAAATAAATTAATAAATAAAATGATCCCAAAAAATAATTAAAGGAGAACTATGACATGAGTGATTTCCACTCATCTCATAGTTCTAAGCCGACCTGTGACAATGAGACTGTCACAGGTCGGCTCAGTAGAACGGGAGGTGAGGGAACACATACCGGATTCCCTCACCTCTCGATCCTGTCACGGCTCTCTGCCGTGACAGGGGGAGGGGCTGGATTCCCCTCTCACCGATCCGATCTGCCAGCGCTGACTGGCGGAACGGACGGGGGAGGGGGCGGGTACAGCTGGCTCTGCCTCTAGATAGGCAGAGCCAGCTGTCACTCACGCAGCTGGGCGGATCCCGTCATCTAAGTCGGGATCCGCTCTGGCTGCGGCGTCTCAGTATACCGCGAGCTGTAGCTTGCGGTATACTGAGCTTAGGGTAACGGGAGGACGCTAGTTTGTGTCCCCCCGTTACCCTTTGGAGAACTGTGGGGAAAAACACTGACCCCATAGTTCTCCTTTAAGGAGCAAAAAAAAAAAATCTATGTGAATAATAAAGTGAATATCGCCTATACGATTTATCAATGTAATCCATAAAAAATAATACAAGTGAAAAGTGGTAATATAAATCCAACCGTAAAGAATATTATTATCCTAACTAATCTTTTAGTTTACAAATAGTAAATCAATTCCATGTGTGTGATAAAAATGTGAATCATGAACAGTGGATAGCTCATAAACAATTAGTAACGTAATCCAAAAAGTAGCATAAATATTGTTGCATCCTAACTCAATCTCAAATGTAACAAAATGTGTAAAAAATAACGAGTGAACTTCCCATATAACATCCAAATGAATTCAAATAACTGGTGAATCAATCATCAATTTGATCCCCTCCTTGTGCAAAACGACCACACATGAAACATACCTGCATATTGTCTCTGCACAAAGTGCATATGACAGTGTGACAACCCAGAAGAGCTATTGAGAGACAGGGACAAAGCTTTGTCACCCTATAACAGAAAGTGCCTGAACAAAAGTCTTCATGGCAGCATTACCTGGTATTATTTTGAAAAATGCTGCAGGTTTAAAATGATTGAAAATTACTTTACATCTACTTTGATGCACATAATATACACCAAGATGAGAAGTAGGCATTACTAAAATCCACTTTCTCCAGTTTTTATCATTTCCAATGTCACTGGTATGAAAAACTGTGGCAGCTATCTGATTATTCAGTTTTCACTGGGTATCACTGTATGATATTCAGGTTAACCTTCTATGCTATAGTGCAGATTTCCAGGTCTAATTGTTTAGTGGAGTTTTCACATAATAACCTTGAATTATTGTTTCTACTTTATACTAAAAAGTGTATTTGCATTGTTTGCTAAAGGTTACTGCCCTAAAAACATAACTGTCAGTCTTTGTATTTGCACTTGTTGACTTGTACACTTTTGTCCAAAGTGTTTTCATTCATCTACTATATTTTCAGTGGTATACACTAAAATTAATTTGACAGTGCTCACAATTTCAATGCAACAGGTTTTGAAACCCTAATCTTTATATTAATGGCCTTTACAAAACAGTTGCACCCTCACAATGTATTTCTGTAATGCAGCCAGGCTGCACATACAGTCATAAATCTGCTTTCTTTTATTTTTAATTTAACTGATATGTGCTGCAATTTGGAGAGCCTGACCACAGCTTTCTCAGACACGGCAGTGGCCTTGCTCTCCTACAGTCTGACATGCCCCCTTCAACAGTACACTGTTCGACTGCACTGCTCAAGTAGTGAGAGCGCTGTTGATTGGTGTACTGTTCAGGGAGGTTTATTCGACCATGAGAGAGCAGGTCCATTTCTTTGTGTAATGGAACCACCATCCAACTCTACATATTGCTGGAGCACAATGGATTTTAACCCTTGCTGCTGCACATACTAGTAAAAGAAGATCAGATAAATGACGCCACTGTATATAGAGCATGGCTGCATTACAGTAATGAATCATGAGAGATCAATTGGTCTTTAAGTATGTATTTTCCAGATTCAATCATCATTATCATGAAATCATTAAATGCTGCCTTTTCAGGAGGTGACTCTATTTAGTTAATACAGGGGTATTTTTGAGTTATTGTATGAGGTAATTTATTTTCATTTATATTAACAAGTGGTTTCCTCATTAGGAGAAAATGAACCAGTTTCAAACATTGAAACACTTTACAGAAAACGATATAGAATTACATGTATAACCACTGGGAAAATACTGTATATTCTTTTAGATGGAAGTGAAGTACAGAGAAAGCAGGTTTGGGCAACAGATGGTATTTTGCACTTTTCAGGCATCTGTAATGTTGTGGATGTTGGAAATGCAACAGTATATACTGATTGTATTACTGACTGTATTACTATAATTTGTCTTTTGAGCTGTAGATGGCACTGTAGTGCATTGTTAGTCTCTATGTGCATGCTTATCTATGATACACAGGAAGTTCTATGTTTTCTGCACAATGCTGTATACATATGTGTAATGTTCTTCTAAGGCAAGTAAAACTTAATTCAGCATTCCTCAAGATCTCAGTGCTTCATCTAAACACAAAACCAACAGTGGACGCTTTACATTATTTCATCCTGGTACACAGGCTTGATAAAGATACAATAAAATGAAATAATTGGGGTGCAAACCCAGTAACTCTATAGATCTGTTCATTCCAGACAACAGCTAATGTGATTCTTCTGTAGGAATCTATCAGTGACTTCTACTGGTACTACTCGGGGAAGGATGTGATTGATGAATCTGGACAGCGCAACTTTTCCAAATCTCTGGCTGTTACCAAACAAATATTTAACTCGCTCACTGAATACATTCAGGTAACAATTGTTTTGCAAATTGTATGCATTTTAATTTGTTTTGCTTCAGAAACTTTATAAGTAAAATTAATTATGTTTAATGACTTGTATAGCAGAGTACTTGAACTGAGGAAAATATGTTGAGGAGGCTGTGAACCCTTGTGCTTTATACAATATGCATAGGGGACAGTTTATCAATGTTGTAGCACCATCAGCATCTCTCAAACCGTCATATCCCTTATTTCTAGGGTTGCACAGATACCGAGTACATGTACCGATACTTTTGAGCTCCAAGACTACACTAGAGAAAAATTCAAAAGTTAGGAGGCAGCTGTCATTTGTAAGGAGCACACGGAGCTCCTGGGATTTGTACATCTCTGTTTTAATGTATAATTTTGTTTTTATACATAAAAATAAATTGATGCACAGATACCAGTTTTGCGAGTACGAGTACTGGTACTTGCCGAGTACTTACAAGTACGAGTACTGATACATTTTTGTTTATTGTCATGTGACAGTTTTTCTAAAACAATACAGACTAATGATTTCAGGACAGTGGTGGAGTGCCAGAGCCAGGTCCCAGCTGCAACGACTGCAACCCTGGTAGTTCTCATGAAAATGCCAAGTATCTGCACTGGTACTCTAAAAGTATCTGTGCATCACTACTTATTTCTAGTGCATATGGTGACAGATTTATTATCTTAGTTTATATTTCATTCCTAAATGTCTTCATAAGGAGAATTGTCTAAAAACAGTCTCTATATTTTTCTGTCTCTAAACTCTAAAAGATTACTGGCAACCTCCTGGATGACAGCTGAATAGCCCGAGGTGTTTAGCTTACATAGTTTAAGAAGTGCTCAGGAGAACTTCTAGAATGTGCATCTGTTTGGAGGTCTTCTACTGTCGCAAATGTTGTACACAAATACTGTGCAGTTGAAATATTATGCGAAATGTCACAAAACATGTGCAGTGATTCACAAACATTAATATGTCGCAAGAACACTTATAAGTCACAAACATATGTCGCAAGAACACTTTAAAAAAGGCATAACAGATAGGGATGTACTGATACTAATACTAGCCCAAATGCTCCAATACCTTCCCCGATACCGAAAATTCCGGTCACAGGAAGATTACCACTGACCGGCAGTGCCATAGGGGAACATGGAGCCGGCTTCCCGGGCAATCAGGAAGCTGGATGGCAAGTAATGACCCGCCTCCCAGCTTCCTAATTGGAGCCGCACAGCTGGCTCCTTGCTGATTGCCTGGGAAGCCGGCTTCCTGGCGAATCAGCATCGAGCTGGCCAATCAAGAAACTGGGTCATTACTCACTGCCCTGCTTCCTGATTGGCCGGGAAGCTGGCTCGATGCTGCTTGGCTGGAAAGCCGGTTACCCGGCCAATCACAATCGAGCTGTCCAAACCACATAGAGCCAGCTTCCTGGGAAGCTGGGCATGTCATTACCTGCCGCCCGGGCTTCCTGATTGCCTGGGAAGCCAGCTCCCTGCCATCAGAAGCACCGACATCGGTACTCGATATTGGCTTGTACAGTAAGCAAAATATCGGTACTCGTCCTGGATACTGAAAAACCGGTATCGGTGCATCCGTAATAACAGAGAACTCTGCGGTTAGTTAGCATGACATTTTGCTCTTTGTGCCTAAAAATGTTGTCACAATCGCTTTCATAAATTCCCCCCAATGTATTTTGTCTTTTGATTTTTTATTGTCAGGCTTTCTTGTATACAGACATTTGTTTATGTATTCATAGCAATTTAAAGTTTTGAAATCGGAATTTAATTTAAAAAGTAAATTGTAGGATTATTATGGCATTGTAACAGTGGCATACATAATTACTTGTAATACAACCTTTTCTTCCCTTGCATAGATTAACCAGCTTTTGCAAAAATGTGTAACTTTTATTTTTGTTTGTGGTGGCTGCATTAGTTTTCTATTTCAGGCCTTTTATCTTTTAGTTTGCACTTATAATTCTGCAAATAACACCATTCCAGTCCTAGGGTGGCTAGGCTCACCCACTCCACTGTATCTATGTAGGGAGCTATGGTTGGCACCCAGGCTAGACTTTGAACATGTGTAGCACAACCCCCTAAGGAGCAGCTGGATTTGTTTGGGTTCTTTTGCCACTCCCAGTGATGACCTACCCTGTACCTGAACCCAACAATCACCAGTTGAATGGCTTTATTGAGTTGATAAGGGACTTTTTGTGTTAGGGTCACCATACACATTACAATCTGACTGTACAATCTTTGTACAACCAACTTTATATTTACCAAAAGTGTGTAATATAAGGACCTATATAATTTATCCAGTCAGGCAGCCCTCTGCACTACATAGTTGTTGGTAGATCTAAAGGAGATTATACGATCAGATTATAATGTGTGAGGTGAGCTTTAGGTGGATAAATCAATATAGATTGTATTGGAATACTTTTCAGTACTGGCACAGGCAATCACAATAACAGTGCAGTAAACAACTGACTCTACAGATAAATAGCATACCTAGCACTATCAGGCTCTAAGGCTCTAAGCCACTGTCTAGTAGGGTATAGGCTACAGTCCTGATGGCATTGGGGCCATTTATATTAGTTTTTCTGAGTAATTTTCGTTAATCGGATATATCCGAATAACAGAAATGATGAATGAAAACGAATTTGAATTTCCGAAAACGAAATTTCGGACAAAATTTGTTAGCGATAGTCTGTACGAATTATCGTTTGTGGACGAATTTTCGTTGCAGCAAAGTGACATAAAAAAAATTATGTCACTGCTGCAACGAAACAAACGAAATCGAAAACGAAAACAGTCATACAGACTACCGATAGCGAATTTCTTCTGAATTCCGAAACTAATTGACTTTCGGACCCGAATCCCGAAAAATTAGATAACACAAAATCTGAATCAAAATGAAATGAACCTAAACAAATGTTTTGCCGGTGCACATGTCTAATTTATATCTCATTGGAATTTTCACTCACAAACATGAGATATTTTTATTAAATAATTGAGATTTGAGATGAGTAAAGCAAGTCCCTTCTGCAGAACTTTAGCACTAATAGCAAAAAGGAACCAATGTCCTCCTGAGTCCTGGCCGCAGATGGCTCCTTATCTGGCGATCCCACAAACACAATTGATCTGGATTCAAGCCAGGCCACAGTACCTCTTTGACTGGATGGAGTCAGGCAAAGGGCAGCCCACAAGGCTCTGGGCCTCCCTCTCTGCCCTTTATTGACGATCCTCTTCTTGTGGCTGTGCCCTATGTTACTCTGCCACAAAATCTCTTCAGACCACCGCTCTGCGCAGCACACATCAGCTCACAGCACTTTTCTCTGTTTCTCTGTACACATTTAGTAGCAGCCTGATCCTTGCAGATTGATCCTTTGGCAGCAACAGCACGTACACCTTTCTTCTAGAGTGAGTAGTCTTTAGGCAGTACATGGGGATGTGGGGGGCGGGGCAGTAGTAGCTTACAGATAACATTGAACATAAGATAATATTGCTTTCAGTTCAGCTCACTCAGGAAGTGACAAGTACACTGCATTTCTGCATTCCATGATTAACAGGTATTTTCTGTACTTGCTGAAAATGTTCTTTGCCTGAAAAATGTAAACGTATGCAATCACCACATCTTTGGATTGGTAAATTACAATATATAAAAATATATACAATATCTGCTGAATACAATAGCCACTTTAATGTAAATAAATTGGAAAGTCTTTTCAGAGCATTTAATTTGAACCTTAATACTACTGATTACTGGCAGTTTTTATGAGCAACCAAAAGTACTACATGTAAAAATACAATATTTAAAGGAGAACTATGAGGTGAGTGAGAATCACTCAAGTTCGATCCGACATGTGACAATGAAACTGTCAAACGTCGGCTCAATAGATCGGGAAGTGAGCGAACACATACCGTCGCTCGCTCACTTCTCGATCATCTCCCTGCAGAGACCCTTGACGGTCAGCCATGGCTCCCTGCAGGGATTTACCCCGTTCCAATTCTCCAGCGCTGACTGAGGGAGCGGGTAGGTACAGCTGACTCTGCTTCTAGATAGGCAGAACCCGCTGTCACTCACGGAGCTGGGTGGATCTCGACAGTAATGTCGGGATCCACCCCGGCTGCGGCGGTCTCAGTATACCGCGAGCTGTAGTGTTCCGTGCCCATTCCGTGTGTACCTTGCTGTAAAGCTGGTGACGAATTGATGAGTGCGTTTGTCATCTGTTTTGCTTTACTGAGCTTTGGGTCACAGGAGGACGCTAGAATATGTGTATGTCCTCCCGTAACACGGTTACCCCATAGTTCCCTTTCAAATTATACTGCATAAATTCTACTTATTGTTTGTCTAGGATTTACATGTAATGTGCTACTTCTTATTTTTAGAGTGATAAAATATGGACTAAATAGTTCTGTAAACAAAATGCTGCAACTATTGAAAACAAACCTCATAAAAGTAAATTGCTTGTTTGTACAGAAATATATAGAGCATTTTCTGTCTCCTTTATCAGCTAAAATGGGGGAGTCAGTATTTCATGAAATCATTTTAGTTCAGTGTTATGTGTGGCTGTGATGTGCAATGGGCAATAACTTAGCTTGCAGCAAAGCATAAACACAGCCCTGCTCCTGTGCAGATTGTAAACATCAAGGAAAGATCTGTTAGAGAATTCAGTGAAAGCCAATTTCTGTTAGTATAACTATACTTTAGTGTGTGTGCCAGGTCTCGTGGCTGAAGATAAAAAAAGAGAGCAGATGTCTTCACCCACAAGGACAGCTGCCAGGAAAACTCCCATTCATGAATTTTGTAACATTTGTTGTAGCTTTAGAATATTATTTCCAACTTTTTTAAAAAGAACCAGTGCATTAAATATTTAGCAGACTTGCCAACACCACATTCTGCTGAAAAATGTAGTGCTTAGTTTAACCTTTCTCCAGGTTTAAACCATTTCTGAGGGACTCCAATGTATGCTCATATCCACTGAGAGATACAATAACAGTAGATCGACTCTGAAATTTACACTCTATCATGAAAGAGTAAGCCAAGCAGAACCTTCTTTTACCATTGCTATTTTTTCACCACCTGTCAGTTTGGTCATTATTTAAGGCAAGATTTAAGGTATGGACATAAAGTGACTGGTAACCTGCAAATCGTGTAAATAATCTAATTCACACATCTACACTAGGAACCAGCACAGAGAGAATGATTTATCAAAGGAGTAGAGATTGTTCATCTAGCAAAAATAATTTTCAGTTTACCGAGTGTATAATCCCTTTGTAAAGTGAAAGCTCACTGACAAAATGTTGCTGGTGACAGAATTGTCCTGCTCATGTGCGAAAAAAATTTAATAAAAGGATTTTATTCTTGCACATTATTAGGAATTCCAAGTTAGCATAGCTTTACCGTATTTATGAACTTTGCAACCTGAAAAACTGAATAACTGCAGTAATTGACTTAATAGTCTAAAACTGTGATAAGATTAGGTCCACAGTGAAGATCTGCTAAAAGTCAGATAAAATTATCCTATGAAGTCCCTGCCTTACTGCCATCCACACTGCCTATGCTCCCTCACAAGTGTTTGGGCTTTAGCATTGTTTTACACAGCCTCCACTAGTGATAATGGAGGTTGAATCTATGTGATTCTGAAGTATTACTGCTGACAAAATTGTCCCTCTGACATTATCCTTAAAGTGACACTAAGCTTTGGAGTTAAATCTTAAAAATGCATTCAAGTACCTTTAACTATTACCAAAACAGTATCTTATTTGTGTATCACTCAGCTGTAGATCCTCAAATCATCTCTGAATTTGTGCTGACACTGTCCTTCCTTCTAAGGATCTAAAGACGAGTGATACACAAATAGAAAATTGCAGAAACGTCACCAGCACACCAAATCCTTATAGGATCAAAGTTCGTAGATTTTATTGCAAACTCATGTCAGTTACACAAGCGCTTTCGGGGCCACACAGGGTCCCTTCATCAGGCATAGCAATTATACACAAATAGGTTACATTTTAAGCTAAGGTACTTAAATGCATTTTTAAGATCTCCTGAGCTTAGTCCATACAAACCCAAGAAAAGCTGTCAGCACACCGAATTCCACTGGGATAGTTTATTGAAGCTTGTGTAACACCACTGGTGTCCCGCCCAAAGTCCACCCCCACTGACACGTTTCACCCAATCACAAGCTTAGTTGTAGATAGGGATGCACCAATACTAGTATTCTAGTAATAGTATTTAAACAGCATGGAGGCAGCAAAACAGCATTGAGTCGGCTTCCCGTGCAATCAAGAAGTCATTACCCACCGCCTCGCTTCCTCATTGCCCAGGAAACCAGCTCCCTGCTATTTGAAGTACCGGTATCGGTGAGTACCGAAATATAAATATCGGTACTCATGCTCAATACCGAAAAACCGGTATTCCCTCATCCCTAGTTATAGAGATGAGGGCGGACCAGGGTAGGCTGTGCTTTATACATTAAAGTTCATGTGCATGTCATTACATGGTAACTTAATTAAAGGGAACCAGCCTTATATTTCACAAACATGAATATAGCATACAGTGTCATACAACGTCCTGCAAATTCAACAATGCTGTTATACATAAAGCAGCAAGTAAATAAATACATTAATTTATCAATTGTATATGCAAGACTATCACTATGACTATGTTTTTATGATACAAAGTAATACCCTATCAACTTGTGGTATTCATCAGCCATACCTGGGGTTGCCACTTGTCCGGGATTCACCCAGACAGTCCGGTTTTTGAGTCTTGTGTCCGGGCGTTAGGCCAGCTGACACCCGAACACAAGACATGGCGATACCAGCATGCTACATTATTTGACAGATGCGGCTGCCGAGGTCGCCAGAAAGCGCGCAGGACCTCAGGCAGCCGCATCTGCCTGAAGCGGAATCTGTCTGTGAGCGGGACGCCAGTAGAGGAGATGTTTGGCGCAATCCGATGGTTACAGAAATAGCCGAGCAGCAGGGGGAACAAGGCTCTATGGGGGAACGGTATTTGACACAACACTGGCCCGCACATCTCCTCCTTCAACACGCTGCCTGCCTCCGGACCCCTGGTCCTGCACAGCAAAGCCTGCATAGCCCACCTGACACCCCACATAGGCAGCTGAGAGCCCGCTTAGCCCACCTGAGACCCCACACAGCCACCTCAGAGTCTGTATACCCCACCTGAAAGTCTGCATTGCCCACCTGAGAGTCTGCAGAGTCCACATAGCCCACCTGAGTGCCCGCATAGCCCACCTTAAAGCCTGCATAACCCGCCTGAGAGCCCACATAGGCCATCTGAAAGCCCACATAGGCCATCTGAAAGCCTGTATAGGCCACCTAAGACCCCGCACAGCCACATGAGAGTGTACATAGCCCACCTGAGAACCCATGTAGCCCCTCTGAGAATCCACATAGCCCACCTGAGAGCCCGCACAGCCCACCTGAGAGCCTGCACTGCCCACTTGAGAACCTAGGACTATGTAGCCTCATATTATTTTGTTTTGCTGGGATTTGTAGCCCTCTATTCCAGTCTCCTTACTCCCTCCGCTGGCTGCCTCTCTTCGCTCTCTCCTCTATATTTTCCACACAAAAAAAGATTGCTGCACAGCACTAGAGTGTGCAGGTTCCCTTGGAGAAAAGGTGGCAACCCTAAAATAAAACCAACATTCTTTATTGTTTCACTATATTAAAAACCTTGCTAAAAACAACATAATTCTGATAAAATAGAAAACCTACCCTGCTGTGCCCTCATCTCTACGACTAAGCCTGTGATTGGGTGAAACAAGTCTGTGGGGGTGGCCCCAGGGTGGGACACCAGTGATGTGGTACAAGCTTAAATAAACTATTCCAGTGGAATGCGTTGTGGCCAGTTTTTCTTCTGTTTGTATGGCCTCATATTGGAGTGAGGATGTGCTCCCAGCGGCAAGCATCCGGCTCATTCCTTGCCTGAGCTGTAGAAAGTTAAAAATGTAAAACTGATTTGTAAGCGCACCCTTGGAGGGGGGTGGGTATACACTATGTTGAGGCCGTTGTGCAACTCCTTTGATTGTGAGACTGGGGTGTCTAACTGTATAGCAAGAAAAGGAGAGGAAGGAGCGCAACTGACTGGCACACGCTATGTGGAAGGAAATTGATCAGGGATGTTTGGCACTCGTGTGGTGGAATGGATGGGTGCAAAGGTGGAAACTCCTGGTGATGTTATTGTGAAGTCTCGTCTAGGTGGCAGATGGGTGTTTGATGGTCAGATGTAGATCCTAGGGGTATGGGGTGGTTGGTGGTGTGTCGAATTCAGCATGGATGAAGAAAAATACAAGGTGGTCAGAATCTAGGCAATTAAAGGACAAGGAAATGCACTCCTAACTCACCATTAAGTTTGGTGTGTGGCGTTCTCAATGACAAATAACATGTGGTGAAAGCGAAGGTGTTAGTCCAGATGGTTTCCCTCTTGTCGGTGATGGCGGTATTTGGTTCCTGGTTGGTTAAGGACAGGTGCTGTTGGAGTGCTGAGGTGACGGAGAGTCCTGGATCCTGGCGTGATGTCGGGTGGTGAGGAGGAAGCTGTAGAATAGAACAACTTGTTGTTGCTGTAGTCCAGAAATTATGTCCTTAACCAACCAGGAACCAAAGACCGTCAGTCACCAACGAGAGAAACCATCCGGACTAACACCTACGCTTTCACCACATGTTCTTCGTCGTAGAGATCGCCACACACCAAACTTAATAGGGAGTTAAAAGTGCATTACCCTGTCCTTTGGTGGCCTAGATTCTGACCACCTTGTATTTTCTTCATGCACGCCAAATTCAACGCACTACCAACCACCCCATCCTCTGAGGATCTACATCTGACCATCGAACACCGATCTGCCACCTAGACCAGACCTCACGATAACATCACCAGGAGTTTCCACAATTGCACCCATCCATTCCACCACACGTGAGTGCAAAACATTCCTGATCAATTTCCTTCAACATAGCGTGTGTCAGTTGCGCTCCTTCCTCTCCTTTTCATGTTCTTGCCTGAGCTGTGGAGGAGTGGTGCTTCTTTTGTGTATTACCCTTGCATCCTGAGTTTAGTGTCACTTTAATACCAACCGGCCCCCATTTGTGAAGGGGCCTAAAAGTTCTGAGTTTAAGAAAGCTACATTTTAGGCAGCAGCAATCTTGTTCAATATCATGCCACATTCCCTCTTATGTATAACTTCAATGGAAACTAACATTTCATACCTTGAAGAATTCAAATAACTTTATAATGTAAGGTGAAATGCTCAAGAGTGTTAGAAAATACCTACTAAATTTATAAATAAGCATGTCATAAACCATTTTCCCTTTACTCTCTTTAAAGATCCCTGTAGGTGTATATTGGAGCTGAGGAGTTAAGGGAGTTAATCTGCTGTTCTTTTTCCTAAGTTTAGAAATGCACCATCAAGATAAAAATTAAGTGTTATAATATGCACAGTCATATGTCTTGCTACCAGGGTACAGCATATAACAATGGCATTGGATCAAGTCATTTTTATATGTTGGTGCTCTGGATAGCTGCTCCAGTTAAACTGAAACTATAATGTAACATGTCTTCTTTTTGCAGGGTCCATGCATAGGAAATCAGCAGAGTTTGGCACACAGTAGGCTATGGGATGCTGTGGTTGGGTTTCTCCATGTCTTTGCAAACATGCAGATGAAACTGTCACAGGTAATACTCTTGTTTAGAATGTACACTATTGCTGGTGTAGTTTTTAATTTTAGCATACTTTTATGTGCCTCAAAGCAGTAAACATACTGTATCTTGCATATGCCATGTTTAAGTTACACACTCATTAATAGCAGGGAAATTACATACAGGGGAATATTGTGTGGCAGGTCTTTAGTCATTTAGGTATTTCATTAAAAGTCTCTCTGCTCCTCATAGAATTGGCAAATTATAAGTATGGGCAGGCCACCACTGTTCATGTATTCTGCATGCTATTGTTGGCAAGACATCATCATTCACAGTAAGGAGATTGTGAAATGCAATGAGGTTGTCAATGTCTCTTCCTAGAGACTAGAGTTGGATTCCTATTATACCATGTGGCTTGATCTCACTGCTCATTGTGTTATCTCATCACATCATTGAACTTGCTAATGGGATCCATACTGGAAAGCACAAACCTGCTTACTGTAATAAATAATTCTTGCTTTTCAAAAAACAATGTTTTCAGATAGTCTGACAGAGGATATAATGAAGTGAATACTTATTAACACATGAAAATCATATTCAGAACATTATCTGTTAATCGACTATCCAGCTGATGACTTGGAAGGTTCTTTGTTCCTTGGATGGGACTATTTAGTGATGCATGGGGTGCTAATTGGGTTCAGTATATGTGACGTGTTAAGTAATTGCAATGCAAAAGAAAACAGCCCTTTGGTTCACATCTTTCTCATAATTGTTAATGACCCTTATACATGACAGCTCATCTAGAAGAGCCCCCCCATGGGAAAACAATTTCCCTGCAGATTCTAATATGTTTTTTCATTCTGAACCGTATTTCTGTGTTTTGAGTGAAGCTATTCAGCTGATATGTGCAGAAACTTTGACAAGGATACAGCTAATATATGCCATCAACTCCAGATTCATTTTAAGCTGTATTCACTAGAAACAACATACTTTTCATCAACATATGATTTTTGTTTAACCTGTCTAAAGGGCATTAGTTATAGAAAACTATATACAAATGTTTGGTTTCCAGCATAAAATGTGTGCACTTAAAAACCTGCTTAAGGCGGAGCAACAAAGGGATCGACGGACTCGTTTCTTCTTCCGCAGATGGAAGAATTTTTTTAGTACAATGTTTAGTGCTCAGGAAATCACACGACTAATGAAACTGTTTGAGTATACCACATGGTACCTTAAGGCAAAGCTTACGAATTACCTGGGGGTCCTGGAGCTTCTTACTGTTAACTAACAGCGTACCTGTTTTTGAGTAATGGGGTAATGGAGGCGGAGCTTTGTAACTCTGTTAAGGGGGGCGACCAGCACATGGGAGATAGGGGGTGGGGTTTTTTTGTATATGTTGGTCCTAGGAAATGGGCCTATTGTATTTGGAATCTATGGAGAGTCCAGTAGTGTGCACGATACAACATTTTAGAAATAAAGAACCCTTTTAGGCCACAAACCAAGTAACTTGGTTTTCAGCTGAGCTCTCAGCCTGTCAAACTTGCTAGGTGGTGTGGGAGCAGATCATCTTGCCAGGATACTAGACAACAATGAAGACCTGGTAGGGATTAAACATTGTCCCACATGAGAAGATGGGGAAATATACAGGTATTTCCTAATCTTAAAGGATAGGACACAGGCTCCTTCAATCATAGACCCTGGAATATTTGCAACTACCTTCAGGTGATTGGACACTGAGAGACAGAACTGTGATGAAGCCCATATAAAACCCCTCAGTTATATAGGCTGCCTCACTGAGGCAGTATCGCAGCTTCTGAATTGGTACCGTTTGATAGCGTCTTGGGGACTGTTCCATGTGGAAGACATGACACTGGCCAGTAATGTGACTTTTGCAAAGTTGCCGATGGGTGCTACTGTCACAGATGCTTTGCTTCTAGACGAAGGTGAGGAGGAAGGGGATCGTGAAGAAGGAGAGTGGGAATTGTTGGAGTCAGAGCAATCCCCATGGGAGGGAGGCCATTCAAGCACTACCTCTCCTAAGTTGTGCATGGTGCACACTTGCTTAAAGTTGGAAGTGCCTCTGGCTACTGGTCTTGAGGTGACTATTGTGGATTCTCTCAAGAAAGCTAAGAAACTCAAAAAAAATCTTTCCGGTCCATTCTCTGGTGCAGAATGTCTTTTACCTGGTTGCATTTAGACAATGTGTACACCTCCTCCTAAGAGTTTACCCAGCTATATCTTTTGAGGATGAGTACAACAAGAAGTAGAAGGTTCCTGTGGTGGATCTAGCTATCTCTTGTCTCAATAAAGTCCCTGATGGTCCCTGTGGAGGACATCCCGGTCTTTAAAGACCATTTGGTCAAAGTCGGGGAGGCCTATTTAAGGCTTTATTTACTTTGGCAAGTATGGCTCTGCTTTCATTCCATTCAATTCTTGACACAAAAGCACTCAATGAGGGGTTGCCCCTCTTGAGTACAACAAGAAGTAGAAGGTTCCTGTGGTGGATCTAGCTATCTCTTGTCTCAATAAAGTCCCTGATGGTCCCTGTGGAGGACATCCCGGTCTTTAAAGACCATTTGGTCAAAGTCGGGGAGGCCTAGTTAAGGCTTTATTTACTTTGGCAAGTATGTCTGTGCTTTCATTCCATTCAATTCTTGACACAAAAGCACACAATGAGGGGTTGCCCCCACATCTTCAAGTGAGGGGACATCTGTCTGCCTTTTCAGCCGCATGGTTGTGGGAAATGATTGACCTAGGGGCCACATATGTAGTGTTCTGGGCGTACAGACTGAAAATCCATTCCTCCCCCAACCTGCTTCGTGCGGTAAGTAATAATCAATCTGCCCTGCAGCTTCTGCACTTCTCTGGATTGTCCCAGTTTCCCAGGAGTAACAGTTCCAGTGGTTTTACTTCAATCCGTTCTTGGTACCCAAACTCACTGTGGGACCTTAGCCCCATCCTGGATTTGAAGGTTCTCTTCATCTTCTTGTGGGTCAAAAAATTCTGCATGGAATCAGCCCATCCTGTCATTGCATCACTGCAGCAAGGGGAGCACATGGCATCTATTTCTGAAGGAGAATTTCCCTCAGACCCTCTCTACCAGTCTCCAATGGATGATCCAAATGAGTAACAACTTCAGGTAGATTCTCAATCTACAAACACTGTGTTGAATCCCACCCAGCGCTTGGCAGTGTCCAGATCTAGTCTTAGACACAGCACAGACCCTGGTGTTTCTTCCCAGGAAAATGTTCTAATCCTTTGTTCTCAAGTTTGCACCATCCGCTCCAAGGCGCGACCACTGGCCTGGTTTTGTATGAGAATACTGGGTTTAATGGTGGCCTCATTCGAGGTGGTGATGTTGGCCCAGTTCCACTCCAGTTCCCTTCAGCTCAATATCCTAGCCTGTGTGGGACATTTTGCCTCAATTCTTGGATTGCTCCATACACCTGTCCGTGGAGACCAGGATCTCTTTGACCCGGTGGCTGATCAGCCCTGCACTGGATGCAGCAAAGTCTTTTCTCCCACTGGACAGTGCTTACGATGGATGCTAGTCTGCTGGGAAGGGTAGTAGTTCTTTGGATGAAAACAAGTAAATGGACTTGGTCAGCGAGTGAATCCAGATTCCTGATCAACATCCTGGAGCTGAGGGCAATTTACCCTGTCCCTTTAAAAGTGAGAAACCAACTTCAAGGACGACCAACGAGGATTCAGTCACATCATCTGTCAGGGCAGTACCAGATGCCGTGTGGCCTAAATGACACATTTAGGCCTTATCAATGTTCCACATCCTTGAATGGACAATTGGCAGTCAAACTTGCTTACCGCCTGGATGCAGGGGAATGTTCCCCCCAACCCAATGTGTTTTGGGAGATCTGTCACTGGTGGGAAATGGCACATGTGGATCTCTTGGTGTTCTGCTCCAACAGCAAGGTGGACAGGTTTGTAGCCAGGACCAGAGATCTTTGCCGTGGACACATTTGTGACACCATGGGATCAGTATCACCTGATTTACATCTTCTCTCCAGTACAGGTTTCCTCAACTGCTACACCAGATGGAAGGTATCCTTGTGATCCTGGTGGCACTGGAATGGCCCAGAAGAAGCTGGTACTGGGATGTATTCCAACTTTTGGTAGATTCTCTGTGGGCTCTTCCTGACCAACCTGATCTACTGTTTCAGGGACCAGTGCTCCGTCCTGCTTCTGGTTTTGTCAGCTCTCCAAAAGTCTCCCTTTGAATCTATTAGGAATATTCCCTTGGCAGACTCTACTTGTAAGGTGGCCTTTCTCATGGCTATTATTTCTGCAAATTGGAAATAATTTGCTGCTTTCTTCCTAAGGTGGTATCCTCGTTCCACCTTAATCAGGACATTCTGGCTTCTCTTTGTCCTGCTGCAAAGCACTCCACAGGGATTTCCTTGCATTGTTTGGATGTGGTGTTGGCCATACGGGTGTATCTCTCTGTCATTGCTTTTATCCAACAATTGGATACATTTTTTTTCCTGGCTTGGGGCTCCCTATAACGGGTGGGCAGCTTCTTGTTCCCCTATTGATAGGTGGATCAAGCAGGTCATCACTAAAGCTTTTTACATTGAAGAATAGGCTTCCTCCTTTTCTGGTGAAGACTCACTTGACTAGGTCTATTAATGCACCAGGCATATGCTTTTCCCATTTGCAAGGCTGCCAGCTGGCCTTCTGTTCATATGTTTAAGTTCTACCAGTTTGATGCTCTGCTGGGGCTAGCTTTGGCCATAAGGTGCTTCAGGCTGCTCTATGAGTATGAGATTGGTTGTGGGCCTGTTGGCATTGTTTGCTGTGTTGCCCATCCTTCATTTGTATTGTCTGGGGACAACCCAGGGGTCTTTGATTAAAGGAGCCTGTGTCCTGTACAGTACAATTAAGAAAAAAGGATTTTTGACCGCTCGGCATTCGTGCACGATACCGCACAGATTTCCGTGTGGTCACAAAGTCATCCATTACCTCCGATCGCGCTGGTGGTGCCACTATTTTCTAATGGCACCCCAAGTCACACCGAGCAGATCGCACGGTTTCCTGCTGCGATTCTGCCTGTGCAATCGAACACGATTGTGGCTAAAACAGTTGCACGCTGTGTGTTGCAAAAAAAAAAGGTACATGTACCTTTTTTTCTGCAACTGCCACTCGGATGTAACCCCATTCAAATCAATGGGGCCGCGCAGTAACCACTGTATGCAACTGCACAAAATTGCGCGGTCCCTTTCCATGATCAATAGAAAGTCATCTCATCTAAACTTATTTACACATTTTCACAATATATCTAAACTAGGTTAAGATAAAAGAAAAATACATCCCTGGGCAAGATCCCTGGTTTAAAGCTGAAATAAGATGTACACTTCACATTAGTAAGTTTGGGCCAGTGGACTTAATTTTACCCGCTACTGCTGTTTTCTTTCTAAACATTAGAGCAAGGAAATGTATGTTTTGCAGAAATATTTATCGGTAGATTTCAGACTTGCCGTGTCTAATTTGCTGCAGAAAAATGGCAAGGCAAAGGAGATTATAGGACTTGTATGAATATCCCCATGCCTTAAATAAAAATGTTTTTCTCTAATGTATTTGGGCCTATCTGATCAGTGTTAGGATTATACAAGTGCATCTTATGTAGGAAGAAAGCTATACAAAGTAAATACTGATATCATTAAAGGTAACTATTAAAAAGGAGCCAAAGTAGAAAGGCTGCACGGTGTGCTGGAGGTATGGCATGTGCAAATGTGCCAGCAGTAGATATAGTAATATGCAGACACAATTTATTACGCTACTGCCTGACAACAGATTGCTAGTGATACATATACATACCCATACCCCATGCCTTTTTTTTTTTGCATTTTAAAATCAGACCAGTACATGCATTGGCAGCTTAAACTTACAAAAGTGTTACCATTTTTTCATCTCTATAAAAATACATTTATTTAAGGTTAAATTTGTCTGTGTTTTTTATCAGCTAACTAGCTGGGTGACTTGAGGTGTTGCCTGTGTTTATGGGTGGGGCTTAAGGTGTCAGATCTTCTGTACTTATAGCCTTATACAAGATATAACCCTGCATGGTTTCCATCTGCATAAAAAGATCTTACATAAAGTTTAACCACTTGAAGACCAGGGTGTTTCACCCCCTTCCTGGCCAGGCCATTTTTCAGTATTCAGCGCTGTTGTACTTTGACTGACATTTATTCCGTCATGCAACGCCATACCAAAATTAATTTTATACCCTTTTTTGGGGACAGATAGAGCTTTCTTTTGGTGGCATTTAATCACCACTGGGGTTTTTATTTTTTACTATATAAAGGAAAAATTGCCGAAATTTAAAAAAAAAAACAGTTTTCCCTATGTTAAGCAATGAAAAATTGCACATAAATTATCTTTCTTCATAAATTTAGGCCAAAACTTATTCTGCTACATGTCTTTGGTAAAAAAAAAAAATACGGGTATATTAAGTACAGTGTTTGAAAGTTATACAGTCCACAGACTACAGTATATATATTTGAAATGTATCAATCCTGGTGCCCTGACCGCTTATTGCAATTCTTGAGGCCCTATAATGCCTGGACAGTAGAAACACCCACAAAATGACCCCATTTTGGAAACCAGACACTTCAAGGCATGTATTAAGAGGCATGTTGAGTTTTTTGATGATTTAATTTTTTAGCCACACGTTTTTAAAAATGAAAGAAGAAAAAAAAAAGTGTTTTTTTCAATTTTTTTTTATTTTCTAAAAACTTGTGGCAATAAAATGAAATCCTCAATGACGGGAGGTGGTTAAATCAGTGAAACACACCATTTATTTTTCTTAATCACAAAAGTACCTGCATGAGCAGATCATTTTAAGTGATATGTAGATTATTAAATAAGTTGTTAATATTTATGTATTGTGAATTTCAGGACTCTAGCCAGATTGAACTGCTTAAACAGCTTCTTGATCTCCTTCAAGACATGGTGGTCATGCTGCTGTCTCTCCTAGAAGGTGAGAATTTTGGCATAAGAGATATTTATGTTTTTTTGAATAGCTGCTATCTTTCTAGTCTTTGTGTTTGGAGGGCCTCTACTGATGTATACCAAACTCACTGTTTTGTAATGGTAAGCTGGGTAAAGTGTGTTTCTCTCAGGGTTCATTGGGGACACAGTAGACCACTGGGTATATGCCCTGCCATTATTACATTATTTACATTCATCATTTTGTCATTAAAATGGTTAAATTTAGTTTTTATACCAACCTACATGTGTACATCAAAATGCAATCACTACACTAAGTTTACACAATAGGCATTTCTACCCAGAGATACTTGGAGACCAACCTACACATTTGTCATACCTTGTTTATTTCCCTAATAATAATATGTAAACTGCTAAAAAATAAAGTTATATATTTCAAGCCCAGCTGTCCCTTGTGTGGGGAATAAAGCAAAGCTAATTACTGTTTACAAAATATTCACTTTACTACTTCAGACTTACTGCTTAAGACTAAAGATTGCTTTAAAATCAATAAAATGGACATTTACAACCAAAACACATGAAACATTGCTAATGTCGTAGGGATTTTCCATGGTTTCAAAGTAACTGGCAAGCCACTCTACCAATTACAACTCCCCAGTTTTCAGAGAATTTAAATCTATAACATCCAAAATTTGCTTGTATCGCCTTTTTGGGAATGCAGACTGTCCAGTCAGTTATAATGTCAGTTTATGATTTCTATTATTCATATTAGGGTAAATATCATACTGGTGAGCAAAAAAAATAGCAGGATGGATGCAGGGCATAGCTATGATGAGACTAGGCCATCTGGGTACCACTATCATTATTTCAGGATAAACAGGGACTGGCAAATGTGGCAGCAATAATAGCAATAAGAAGGTTTTATTGCTTCATTTCATTAGTGTTTTAATGAGCCACAGTTCCTTTAAACCCATGAGCCATGCTGCCTGGCACTTCATACACTTTGAAAGACAAACATCCTACCCTTTAAACCCTTTGTGACAGGAGACGTACACTGTACATCCCGCCACAGAGTGCCCAAATGACTGGCCATGTACACTGTACGTGACCAGTTATTTGTGGCTCTGCAAGGCTGCTAACCGCTTACCATTCATTAATGGGTGCCTCAGCATAGAGGCATCCATTAATTAAAGAGTTAACGTTTTTTAGACGCCCGATCCCTTTCAGGAATTTGTTTTTCACCCTAAGGGGTTAATTCTTTTTAAACCCCCTCATGACAGTGATGTTTAAAGTATGTCGCTGTCACTAAGTGTGACACTTAGTTACAGGGACATTGTATGCTAGGTGACCACTTTTAGCTTTTAGAGAAAAAAAAGATTAAAATGTTAGGTTTTCGTTTTAGAAAGTACAGAAACATTTCTAGAATCCCAGGGATGTGAAGTTTTTCCAAATAAAGGACAAATAAATTAATGTATTTATTGCATTTTTTTTAGCTGCGCTGTTTTTTTAAAACAGATACTACAAATCAAAAACAGGGGGAAAAGTGTTTTCTTTACGTTTTTTCCTCTTTTTTTATATTTCATTTGTCCTAAGTGAGGCGTTAGATACACATTTGCGATATAAATATATAGCCCTATCTGTCCTCTAAAAAACAATATATAATATGTGTGGATGCACTTTGTAAGAAAGTATATTACTGACGTGGAAGAATCACACACCAAAAATTTCAAAAGTGAGGGAATCCCTGCAGGGAGCCGTGAGTGAAAGTCACGGCTCCCTGCAGGGACATGATCGAGAAGTGAGTGAGCGAAGGTATGTGTTCGCTCACTTCCTGATCTATTGAGCCGACGTGTGACAGTTCCATAGTCACACGTCGGCTCGAACTATGAGGCGAGTGAAAATCACTCACCTCATGGTTCTCCTTTAAGACTTTTCCTTCTGTACAATGCTATTGTTCTACTTGAAAAAATAACAACAAGGAAAGATTAAACATTAATTAAACTAAAGCTAAGATAAGTATGCCAAGTAAAAACTGCATTTAACCCCTTCATGACTGAGCTTGTTTTTCATTTCTGTTTGTTAATGATTATGGCTTACAGCTCATGAAAACCCCAAATCCACAATCTCAGAAAATTAGAATATTAAGTTTAAGTTGCATTAGTGAAATAAATAAACTTTTGCACGATATTCTAATTATTCGAGTTTCACCTGTATGTTGTGAGTAATGATTGTTGCCTTTTCCCAGTCAGACTCCTTGGGGATTATGGCCAGCTCCCTCTCCCTTTCAGCTATAAAGCTGGGGGACTATGGATGAGCTGAAGCAAGATGTTATTGTGAAGAGAGATATTGTTTAGACTTACTGGTTTGCACAAGCAATTTTCATAATCTGTACAAGATATGGTGAATGAAGTAAGGAATTAAAGGTAGTGAGATAGTTGAGCACATATATTGTTTTTAATCAGATCATTTTTATTACGTTTTCCTTTTAACCAGATATGCAGGGGGCTTTTTATCAATTATTAGCAAGGCGTCCTTATCTAATCATGGGGTATGGTGTGTCCAGGGGTGTGAAACAAGATTCAGGATCATGAAGTCCTCCTATAGTTTGAGCTGGAGTTTAATAGATTTGTTATGAAACCAATCCTATGATTCTGTTTAAGGATGCTGAATCTAGATTTAGAAGGATGTCTACTAAAGCAACTTTCCCTCCTCGTTTTAGTGAAGTCATAACATGTCTATAAATTCCGTTTTTTTTGTGTGTCCTTATGCAATCATATGAATAAGCTTTGATTGGCATTGCTTGAAAAGTGTAAGGGAGTTTGGGCAAGATTTTTATTTTAGTAATGCTGATGCATTCGAGCCATGAAACGTGGGGTTTGTCATACATTTTTTGGCATCTTCGGATAAGCCCATGGAGGGGTTTCGGGTTCTTTACCGCTAAGGTGTTCAGGTTAGAAGATATGTATGCACCCAAGTATCTAATGGCCTTTCCTTGCCAACTAAAAAGAAAATTTTATTTTTAATATAGAAGTCTTTTGACGATAGAGAAATATTTAGGGTTTCTTTTTCTATTTGGCAACTGCGAGGTCATAACTGACCTTACAGTTGCCAAGCTGTCAAATTCTTTACTAATGGATGTGATGAAGTAACATACATTAAAAGATCATCTGTGTATAACTGTAGTTTGTGATGATGATTAGCTAGCTGGATCCAGTTACTTTCATATTATTTTATAGGGTATTAGCTAGGTGTTACATGGTAACAGCAAGAGGAGTAAAAGGCAGGCCTGGTGTCTTTGTTTATCTGTAGGGGTTCTGACAGAGTAAAGTTGGCATGGATTCTAGACAAGAGATTATAGTACAGAGGTATATTTCAGAGCTCCTCATAGCTAATTCAAGCAGGCGTGTTGCTTCTTTGGACATGTTCAATTAACAATATGGTTTTAATAGTATTGGCAGGGGCCTTCATGGTCAGGTGTGAAGCCCACCAGATAAAAATGAGACAAGAAGCAGCCTGGACCAGGACTTTTGCCATTCTTTACAGATGTAATAATATATTTAACTTCCTCCTCTGAGGCCCCGTTCCCACTGCGCGATATGCAAATCGCGCGTTTGTCGCGCAATTTGCATATTGCGCGACATCGCGAGATTTGCCGCGCGATGTCGCGTTCAAGCTTGCATTGAGCAAGCTTGAATCGCGGCTAAATCCGCTCAAAAAAGGGTCCTGCTGTAGCGACACACGACCCGCGACAGCAGGACCCTTTGCTCCATTGGATTGCATTGGAGCGCGATATCGCGCGGTAATTTGCCACGATATCGCGGGAATTACCGCGCGATAAATCGCTCAATGTGAACGGGGTCTGAGAAGACATTTCAACCTCTAACAAAGACTTGGTGGAGGAGATCAGTCTCCTGTACATAATCTCACATTTTTATTGTAATAGATAAGGGGTTCATATATTTAGAATGATCCAGGATGTTATAAAGTTTTTAATAGAAATTAGTGGAAAAGTTGTGTAGATTTTGATTTGGTTATAAGTCTTTAGTTTAAGGGTAAACGTAGATTTCTTAGCCAGGGGATAGCCCGCACGTTGCAGCATTGTCAGTGGGTAATACAAAGTCTCATAGCAATGTCCCAAGGGACTAGGAAGGAAAAGTGCAACTACTGCTAGTGGTTCCAGTTTCTAATCATATGGCCAAGTGCTAGTGAGTCCTGGGAACTGTGCTGACTCATGCTCCAGGGGCACAATCCTGGTGTTGTTCTGTTAGGTATGGATCCTCGGTTGCGCTGGGACAGACTCCAAAGTTAAAATGCCAAGGTAGGGTCTATATACCTGAGTAGGGGACTCTGTCAGGTTGTGTAAAGTCACATGAGGATGCCCATAGGGAGTGTTGTCAAAGTCTGGTGTGGCACATGGTTATGTACCCTGCATCCTGGGCAGAGAACAAACTGCAACCAAGGTCTCAGTTGTATAGTTCCATCTGTGAATAGTGCTAAATATCATTCCTAGAAGGAGGAAGATATTTTTAAAGTGACACTGAATTTAGGAGTTAAATCTTAAAAATGCATTCAAGTACCCTATTAACAAAAATGTCGCTTATTTGTGTATCCCTCGGCTGTAGATCCTGAAATTTGTGTTGACTCTGTTCTTCCTTCTGAAGGGTGGCTACTTTTTTCCCCATGATCCCTGTGTCAAAATTACCCACTCCTCCAAGCTCGCTCCCGTGATAGAATGTAACTTCAATACAAATTGGCTAACTAAATGTGAAACTGTAGTCCAACACAGGAGCGAGCTTGTAATAATAGCTACATTTTTTTATGCAGATACCTGCTCTACTGGAAAAAAAATCTATATTTAAATAGCATAACTTAAAGAGGACTTTTTATACTTTTTTCCACACAAAATTCACAGAAACATGCTTGAGTTTTGCAATTGAATCCAATTTTTTTTTTAAATGTCAATCTTGGGTGAAAGTGATGGAAAGAAAGTGATGGAAAGTCCAAAATGCTTGAACTGTCACAGGAACAGGGGGTCAAGGGAAAATCTACCAGGCTGGTAAACCTGTTCTGTTGACAGCTGTCTAAGGCCCCTCTCACATGGGCAGCATCCGTTCCAATCAGCAGTGGATCTGTGCACAGATCCCCTACTGATTGAAGCAGTATGGAATGGATGTCACACTTGACATCCTTGTCTGAACTAGCTGGACTCATATTAGGGTTTTTGGGGAGTCAAATGTAAGTGGACATATGTCAGTTTACATTCAATTACCTCATTTAGGTCTGCCAAAACGGAACTCTGTTCTATTTTTTGGAGGGTCCTAGATGGAGGCGAATGTAATCGGACCTAACTGGACACAGATTAACATTGTCCTTCTAATCGGGTCCACCTGAAAAACTGCCAGACGAACCTGGTCAGAATGCCCTGTGAAAGGGGCCTAAGAGGGAATATTATTTATTCTCAAGAGATTTCCTTTTACTGCTCTAGTTCTGGGACAGGAAATATAAACCTGACGGAAATCTTAACCTCTATTTGTATCCAAAACTTAAAAAGAAATCTTAATTGTACAGTACCGGACACAGGACTTAATCTCAACCATTGCCACCTTCAGGTAATTTAGATTATTATTATTTGTATTACTGTACAGGATTTATATAACGCCAACAGTTTGCGCAGCGCTTTACAATATAAGGAAGACATTACAATTACAATACAGTTCAAGGCAAGATGGTAAGGAGGTGGCAAACAAAGTAGTTTGGACTGCCCATATAACCCCTCCCACTCCCAGAAAGACTCAGTTTTCTGCTAGAGTCCCCAGGTGATGGACCTCCTCTCTCTACTCAGAGCTGATATGGCTTTTTCCCTTCAAAATATGTCTGCCAATTTGTATGTCAAGATTTGACTGCATTATACTCTCTGTGGCTATGAGATACATAATCTGTTTGCAGCTTCTGGATCCGTGCCCCTCAGCCTGGTGCCTTGTGGACTGTACCTGGACCCTGCCATCAGAAGCCGCAGGGCTGACTTGTCACTTTAGGCACTGCACCTTGTGCTTGGTGCTCACCTTAGCACTGCAGTGCAACATGCCAAAATTAGCCACAGGGTGCTATACAGGTCCAGGACCATGGTCCATCTAACAATGGAGCCCTGTCCTGTCTCTAAAACCCCTCCCCCCGGGGGTGAGCCCAGCTAGAGGGATGGTGTTGGAATTGGGGTTTGTCCACTTTATCCTGAGATGTGCAGGCCACAACATGGATGACAATCCATGAGTCAGGGACTTTTTCTTTAAACTACGTTCCTGGGATGCTGAAGCACTGAACCCCCTTGGGGAACACAGGGGAAGGGGGACAGAGGCTGCAGCTCGTTAGTTGCCCCCGTCACCTGAGTATGTGCTGTGTCATTTCAGTGTGGAGCAGGCTGTGACACAGGGATAATGCAACACTTTAAATTATGTGTTGCAGGCATCTTTTGGCAGGAGCCTGGGCATTTCTCATTGGTGCCCACTGCTCCCACCCATGGGCGATGCCTGTGCAGTTCTTCACCTGGGGTCTTTTACTTTGCTTGACTTGCAAGACTGTGCTTCATCTGTTCCACTCATGCTGGTGGACTGGAACCTGCCTGGGTGAACTGCATTCAAAGTGCCTGGCATAGGACAATTTGAACCCTTACTTTCCAAGGCATTGTTAGTGAGTACCTCTTGGGGTCTCCCTCACTCCTACATGGCACATCACAGGGGACTGGATCAAAGGGTTTTGGCTAATTCTCATCCTGGCCACAGCTCTGGGGGGCCTAGGCATGCTCTCCCTAAGGAAGCTCAATCTCTTTTGATCTGTTGCCCTCTGCTTACTCCATTTTCCTCATCTGAATCTCCTGCTGGAAAGGAATTTTCAGAAACTACAACTAAAATTCTGGGTGGGGTTTCTGCCTTTCTGGAGACTTTGCAATGCAGGGGTTGAGTCTGGTTCAGATTATAATGCTGCAGATGCTGCACTTTCTGAGGAAGGGGAAGGAGGATGAGGTGGAGGATAAGGGGTATTCCTGTTGAAAAGGAAAAAAGTGTCCATACCCCATAGTTGACCTTGCTAGCTTCATAAGTTCCTTAGGGTTCCTGTGGAGGATGTCCCAGTCTTCAAGGACCCGGTAGGACAATTTAAAGCTCTTCTTAAGGCCATTTCACTCTCACTGCTGTTGCCGCCATGTCCATTTGGCAGACACTCGCGGTCTGGAGCAGGCTAAGACTCCTGTTCCCAAGCCCTTGGCTTCTGGGTCCTGAAAAGGTTCTCAGGTTTCCTCCTCCATGTCCAAACTCAGCACCAATATCCACTGCAAACCTTGGACTCCCAAGCCTGACAAAACTTCATTCCTAATGAGAGGGTGCCCCCATTTCTCGATGTAGGGGGACATCTGTTGGCCATTGCAGCCATCCGGACCCAGGACACCCTGGATGTTTGGGTCCAAAATGTAATTTCCAGGGGCTACAAAATAGTGTTTTGGCACTGTCTCCAAATTGCTTCATATCCTCAAATTTGCCCGCCTCTCCAAAAAGTTTAAATGATCTGTTTGCTGCTCCACAGCGGTTACTCTTCTTAGGGCTCATTGCCCCCGTCCCAGCTGAAGAAAGGTTTCTGGGGTTCTACTTAAATCTATGTATGGTTCCCAAGGCAAAGGAAGGCACTTGCCCCATCATGGATCTAAAGACTCTGGTCCAGAAACTCAGCATAGAATATGCAAGGTCAGTCATTTCCTCTCTCTGGCCTCCGCAGACATCCTTATCCTATCTACACATCCTTATATACCTTGTGCATTAATGCTCTCTGTATTTTTCTTTGAATGACCAACATTTTCAATGTGTTGCTCTTCCTTTTGGGTTGTTAGTGACACCTTGGGTAGTTACCAAAGTGTTGGCTTCTATACTTTCTCTGCTACAATTTTAAATAATTAACATAGTGGAGTATCTGAATGACATCCTTATAATGGATCGCTCAGTCCAGGCCCTGTCTGCCAGTGGTCTGTGCAGACTCTGCAGTGTCTATAGATCATCAAATTCCTTTAATTTGCAATTGATCCACCTCACCATCTGGAGTATCTGGGTCTAGTCTTGGACATGGCCCTATCCACAGTATTTCTTGCTCAGGAGAAGCTCCTGTCAGGTGGATGTTCAGATATCTTCTGATTTCTGTTTTGCCTACAAAGTGATTCAATGTGCTTTATGAGTGTTAGGATTCTGACCCTTGTGCTGTGGACCTCTAGGCATTTGTTTGCTGTGTTGCCCACCCCCATTTTTAATACTTTGTGACGTCCCATGGTTGTGTCCTGTACTGTATGATTAAGATAACAGAGATTTTGTCTTTCCTGTAAACTACTTGGAGTAATGTACAGGACAGAGATCCCTCCTCTCTATTTTCTGTGATTCACTCCTTATTGCTTGCTCCAATCACCTAAGGTGGCAGCATATAATCCATGGTTGAGATAAAGTATTGGATCCTGTACTGTACTCCAAGATAAGGAATCTGCAAGTCAAAATGTTTGATTTTGGGTAAATATATACTTTTAATATGCACGTTTTAGTATTTAAACATTATCATAAGGTACTTTTTAAAAACATACATTTTAAGTTATTATATACATATTAACCCTATTGATATAATTATTTGTATCCGCTATAATTTTCAAATCTTTTACATTTTGCAGGCAATGTGGTTAATGGAACTATTGGAAAACAAATGGTTGACACTCTTGTAGAATCGTCCAGCAATGTTGAAATGATCCTTAAGTTCTTTGACATGTTCCTAAAGCTGAAAGACCTAACTAGCTCTGATGCATTTAAAGAGTATGACCCAGAAGGGAAAGGAATTATCTCCAAGAAAGAGTTTCAAAAAGCCATGGAGGGGCAAAAGCAATATGCCCAGTCTGAAATTGAATTCCTTCTTTCTTGTGCTGAAGCAGATGAAAATGACATGTTTAACTATGTTGAATTTGTAGACAGATTTCATGAACCAGCTAAAGATATTGGATTTAATGTGGCCGTTTTGTTGACTAATCTCTCAGAGCATATGCCAAATGATTCACGGCTCCAGTGTTTGTTGGATCCTGCAAACAGTGTTCTAAACTACTTTTCTCCATACTTGGGTCGTATTGAAATTATGGGTGGAGCAAAAAGAATAGAGAGAGTATATTTCGAGATAAGTGAGTCAAGCCGGACACAGTGGGAGAAGCCACAAGTCAAAGAGTCAAAGAGACAATTTATTTTTGATGTAGTCAATGAAGGCGGAGAGCAGGAAAAAATGGAACTCTTTGTTAACTTCTGTGAGGACACAATTTTTGAGATGCAGCTGGCCTCTCAGATTTCTGAGTCAGACACAACAGATAGACCTGAAGAAGAAGAAGAGGAGGAACCTCACCATGTGCTTGAAGTTGGTGAAGAAGATGAGGAAGAAAAATCTTTGGAATCTTCTTCTGCTTTTATTGTAGCTTGCACAGCGCTGAGGAAAAACACTTCCAATTTTTTAAAAATGCTAACTTTGAAAAACATTAGCAAACAGTTTAGGAAGGTGAAAAAAATGACCATTAAAGAATTAGTGAAAGTCTTCTTCTCATTTTTCTGGACTCTATTTGTTGGTCTGTTCCAATTTGTGTTTACCATTATATGGGGAATATTCCAGATTCTTTGGAGCACTGTGTTTGGAGGTGGCCTAGTTGAAGGGGCCAAAAACATTAAAGTTACCAAAATATTAGGAGACATGCCTGATCCCACTCAGTTTGGAATCCACGATGATGTCCTGGAAACCGAAAAAGCAGATGCCCCTGAACATGCTACATCAGCAGAACTGGCCCATCTTGTTAAAGTAGAGAAAGGAGAGATTGACATGCCTGATATATTTGGTATACAAAGCAAAAAAGAAAGCTCTAAGCATGGTCAAGAAATCGGTCTGGGTGATTTCTCCGAGCATGTAGGAACAGAGCGCACAACCAGCTTGGAAAGTGCTGTCCACAAAAAGAGAAAAACTCTTGTGAGTATATTACAGTTGTTTTATTTTTTTAAATTGGCATGGATTATTTGTCTTTTGTACATTGTGTTTTTGTTGTCCCTGAAATTTCTTAATAGTCGACTCTCTAAATGCATTATGATTTTACTTTAATTTGACATGCCAGAAAATATCTCACTGCTTTCACTGAGTCATCTAAGTCTCTTGACATTTTGTTTCCTTTGGTCAAAAAAATCAAAGGAAGAATAGATGTATCTAGGAACATTATGTTCCTAGAGCATACCATTTCTAGAATACATTGGTTTTCATAGACTTTTGAAGAGTGTCTTTTGCATTGTTTTAAAGTTGTAACTGGCAATATTTTCTTTTCCCTGATTGTCTAAGTGAATTAATGAAGCAGTCTTTATTACTTGTTAGTTATGCTTGCTAGTTGGCAGATGCTCTGTTGTGCTGCCTAAAGGCAACATTAAATGTCTATTTTCATTTCCAATCCACATCCCTGTTTTACAATATCTACGGTATGATCATAAAACAAAAGCTACTGTACATATACAATAGGACAAAAACTTTGTGTTCCTTGGTCTATAATGAGAAAATGTTTTCCTCTTTCAGAAAAAGGACACATACATGCTTAGGCCAGGGAATTAAAATTACCACCGGCAGGAGTCCTATTATTTGCTTGTTAATTGTAAATAAATTGCAATTAATGTTTTGGCTTGGGGGAGTAATATCACAGAGCCAACTTATTTGCTGTCACAAGCGTTAAGGAACTAGGCCAAGGTCATATTGTTAAAACAATATTCCATGGTTATCTGTGTTTTGTAGAATTGGGATGTTCATTTTGTGCCGGATGAAGACAAACCAATTAACGTTTAGAAATTCCATGTTTTTTTGCAATTACATGACATTGTGTTGTGCTTTGGTCTATTCTTTTTCAGTAAAGAACTATTTAAAATATATTTCTTTTTAACTGTTGTCTTGTTTGCTAGATTGGCAACAAAAATATATTTGTATGCTTTCTGCTATAGCTATTAATGATCAAATAATATATTATCAAACACACTATTATTCAGTATTGTATGTTGACTTGTAATTATGGAAACTGACTATTCAATGTACAGCAACACCATTTTGTTTTTCAGAAAGACTGCCAACTAAGTGATTAAAAACATGTCAAACAGTGAGGCTTTATTCATCAACATTTTTTCAAGAAACAAGTGTTCTTGTTGCACATTTAAAGGAGAACTATGAGATGAGTGATTTCCACTCACCTCATAGTTCTAGCCGACCTGGGACAATGAGACTGTCACAGGTCGGTTCAGTAGATTGGGAAGTGAGCGAACACATACCGTCGCTCGGTCACTTCTCGACCCTGTCCCTGCCGAGAGCCATGACTGTCACTCACGGCTCACTGCAGGGATTCCCCCCTCCCCGCTCCGATCTCCCAGCCCTGTATGGAACGAACGGGGGAGGGGGCGGGTACAGCTGGCTCTGCCTCTAGATAGGCAGAGCCAGCTGTCACTCACGCAGCTGGACGGATCTCAACGTCGATGTCGGGATCCGCTCTGGCTGCGGCATCTCAGTATACCGCGAGCTGTAGCTCGCGGTATACTGAGCTTAGGGTAATGGGAGGACACTAGTTTGTGTCCTCCCGTTACACTAAGGAGAACTATGGGGAAAAACACTGACCCCATAGTTCTCCTTTTAGCCAACCCTCTTTCACTTTAGTTTGAACTCGATGGACATGTGTCTTTTTTCAATCTGACTAACTATGTAACTTTGATTACCCTAAACTGAATGATCAAAACAATAAGGTTGTCTTCTGTGGGCAACAAAAACAGTTCTCTCTTTAGTCCTACTAGTCAGTAATATTAGTTCTGCTGCATTCTATAGGGATCCAAAAGCTATTCATGTAGAACTAGATATATTACCAGGTTAGTTTGCTTTCACAAAAGGGTTTATGGAAAAAAGACAGAAGTATCAAAATGTTAGTAAGGTACAAGAATATTTACAGCAATAAATCAGATAGGTCAAGATATATGAATCGAACATACTGAGGCATAATATAATGGATAACACAAAACTGGCCACGGTGCTCTAGCTGTTGAGAGGTCAAGGGCTATAAAAATGTTGCCATGCAGATATCATATCTGCCAATCTGCCTGTCTTTTAAAAAGGAACATGACATGTATACACCATAGCTTTTCCCCTAGTTTCTCTGCAATTCTCTTTTTTGCAATGTCTTGCTAATCCCAGATATTTTTTTATTAAAACAGTAGACACTTTCACACCCAAAGTTTTTGAATCTATACTGTACCCAATTATCACTTATGAGTCAAGTGATTGAGATGTTCTGTAATGTTAAAAGAGATCTATGGGGTAAGTGTTTTCCCCATAGTTCACTTAAGGGTCACAGGAGGAGATAAACTAGCGTCCTCCCGTGACCCAAAGCTCAGTATATCGCGAGTATATGACGCAGTTGGCACGGATCCCGACATTACTGTCTAGAGGCAGAGCCAGCTGTACCCGCCCCCTCCCCTGTCCGTCCGTTCCTCCAGTCAGCGCTGGAGGATCGGAGTGGGGAGGGGGGAATCCCTGCAGGGAGCCATGACTGACAGTCACGGCTCTCTGCAGGGAGATGATCGAGAAGTGAGCGAGCGACGGTATGTGTTCGCTCACTTCCCAATCTATTGAGCCGACGTGTGACAGTTTTATTGTCACACGTCGGCTCGAACTTTGAGTATGAGTGATTTTCACTCACCTCACAGTTCTCCTATAACTAGAGTGTGTCCAAGTGTCCTCACATGCTTTTAATTTAATTACATTTGTAATAGCAAAGGTTTCACAAACACTGGACTTTAGTGATGCCTTTGGTAAAGGACTGTATATGAATTAATATTTGCATACATTAGACTGTGTATGAAAATGTTATAGTAATTGTATTGTGACACGATGCATATGGTTTTCAATTTGTAGCATATGCAAGTTTAATATTTTCATCTTATTACATTTAATGAAGAATGTATTTAGTTTGGTAACTGTAAGGGGGACAGGCTAAACTGGTAGTGACAGCAGTAAATCATGCATGAGACAGGGACACCCAGGAATAGTCCAAGCAGGGTTGTCCAGCAATTTCATTCAGCAAGGCAGCAAACAAATTCAGTTTACGCGCAGGAGGGCTTTGTCCCCACGTAGTCGCACTATTATTTTTTAATACTTTTATATAGCTCTGACATATACTGTAGTGCTATACAGAGAATACTGAGCCATTGACATTTATCTCTGCACCAGAGGATCTTACACTCTCATGTCCGCCCAAAGTCACGCACTATTATTATACATTTATATAGTTCTGACCTATGCCACAGTGCTGTACAGAGAACACTAAGGCAGCGACATCAGTCTCTGCACCAGAGGAGCTTACACCCTAATGTTTCCCCCCCCCCCACTGTCACTCACCATTTTTTTTATTATACATTGCCATAGCTCTGATATATAGCACAGTGCAGTACAGAAAACACTGAAACAGTCACAACAGTCTCTGCACCAGAGAAGCTTACACTTTAATGTTCCCCCACGGTCACTCTCTGCTATTATTAGGGATGTACCGATATCATACCGAGCATGAGTACTGGTACTTTTCCTCAAGGACTCACCGATACCTTTAACTGATACCTTTTTTTTTTTTAGTGTATTGTGACCGTTTTTCTAAAACAATACAGACTAATGATTTTAGGACAGTGGTGGAGCACCAGGGCACCGTCGCAGCTGCAACGTCTGCGATCTTGGTAGTTCTGCCACTGACTCCAAGCTGCAGAGGCACTACAAATCTCAGCAATACATTATACAGCAATGCAGAATGGGACCAGCTATAGAGGAGTACAAACCCCAGCAATACATTATACAGCAACACAGAACTGCACCGACTATAGAGGACTACAAATCACAGGAATACATTATACAGCAATGCAAAATAATAGTATATGAATTTTTTACATACTGCCACTCTGCTGCGGGGTGCTGGCCTGATATCTCGGGCAGAGGGTCTCAGCAGGGACAGATGCTAAGGGGCAGATGCTGAGGGTTTTAGCAGGGCAGATGTGTGGGTGGTGGAAGCACTGTGAGATGTGTGGGCCGGAATGTAAACAGTGCTGTGGTTTGCCAGAAGGCTGCCACGAGGTCCCCAGCAAGAGCAGGACCTTATGGCAGCCGAATCTATTTAAAAATGTAAAGAGCCGGATTACCTCCTCCAATGGGTGGCCCAGGACCAGATTTCAGTGGGCCTCCTCCAGCGTCGGGCCCTGGTGCAGCCGCATCAGTGGTTGGTCCACACCTGGTTGTCACCCTAGGACAGAAGATGTATGGACTGGTGAGCTACAATATATTACATCTTTGTTCTTGCCTTTAGATAGCCCCTCCCCAACCCCCAAGCTTCTCTGCTGGTCCTTTAGTATTATAGGGAAGTCTCATTCACTAGCAGAAATAAGCAAGACCAAGCTTTGCATATAAATTAAGATATGTACTGAATATCCAATGATAATTAAGAATTGTTGTTTTAACTGAAGCTAACCACTAGTAATATATGTGTTTCATACATTTTTCTGGGTTTCTGACATATTTACTTTAAGGGGAGGCTCACATAATAGGGTGCCATGCCTGCAAGGGTCAAGCTTTAAAAGCAGAATGTGGAGCTGCACTAATACATAGCCAGGGCAGGCAGAGTACTAGCAAGCTCATGTCAAGCAAGAGATCAGGTCCAGGGAGTTTATTAGGAAAAGGGTAGAAGTCAGAATGGACATTAGGCATAGGATAGTAACAGGGTCTAGGCAGACTAAGAACAGACAGGAACCAGTAGTCAAATAAGTCAAGAATACAGAGATAGGAACTTGGCAATGAGTTACTAGGAACACTCTGGGGACAGGATAAAGAGGGCAACAAGAAATAAGAAAATTATTACAGAAAAACAAGATCACCCAGACACACTTATTCAACAGCAGTTTAAGCATTAGAGTGGATCACTAAAA